ACCCACACCCCCCTAATGAGCGCGCTTCGCTTGCTCACTACCGCCCCTCCCTAAAATAAGATCCTAGCTCCGCGCCTGCGTTAAAATATATAGCTATGAATGCTGACTAAGTTGACGAAATAATTCGTATATTTTTGTCGTCGTGGAAAATGACCATTTGCGCATACGCAAGTACTACAGATAGTCCATAGGAAAAACAATTTAGCCTTCGGCCCCGGGTTTATAGGGTTAAATGTGTAGATTTTGGACATTTAATTTTGTCGGTAATTGGTGGCTAGTTTTGTCGGTAATCTTTGGCCTCTACACCCCCCCACTGAAAAAGGTCTAGCGACGCCCCTGGATACGAGAACAATTTACACATTTACCTAAGAGACTGCGATTCCCGCAAAAAATGAGAGTAACCCCACCAACACACACACAACAGCATACCCAAACATAATATACATACACATTCAACATTACAATCAATAAACAAAAAATCCCCTTAAAAAAAAAAAAAAAAAAAAAAAAAAAAATTAAAACCTTACAATTAAAAGAAAAACCACTCAAGAAAGTATTTTTTTCCTGAGTAGTAGCTTTGCAAGACCTTCCCAAGCAAAGACTGCCCACAATTCACCCCCTCCCCCTTCCTTGAAATAAAATAATCAAGGCAAAAACCCGCCAATGTCCAACATACCCATTCCTCTTTTCTTTAACCTGTCAGTATCCGAATTAGTGGCATAAAACGACTTATTGTCACAGCTTCTACTCGACCTTTATAAACAAAGTTATGCTATCAATATATATATATATATATATATATATATATATATATATTATATATATATACAGAAGAAAAAAAAAACAAAAAAAAAACAGCTCCATTGTCTGATTTGAAAGTACGAGTCAGATCGACTTTTAAGTTTTGTTAAAGAATAACCTCCATTTGATAATAGGCGTATGATATATTTTTTTGTTTACCAATATAAATCTTTCTATATAACGATACAACAGAAATGTGCTCCTATTCGAAGGTTCAGTATTGTAGTTAATTCGTCGAACTATCAATGTCTATATTAAGAAGGCATAATATTTGTCAAGGGACTACCACCTTAAATACCTAATGAGCACTTGTTATTCTTGAGTAATAATATTGTTAACATTCAAACACCTTTCTGCAGATAGACACAGCACGTATTAAATCGTAATACTCTTTGTCATACGATAAGTTCACTATGTGACTAGAAGAAAAAAAAAAGAAAAAAAATCAATTTGGTTCAACAACTCTTTCAAAGGTAGTATGCATGTGGCAATACTATAAAGACCTTGCCTTGTCAATTGACACGCCCTTCGTCTGACCATCGTGACCTTCGTCAACCCTAACCCACTTGTGCAACAACAAAACATTTCAAAAAGAACATGTGAACATTATAACTCTAAACTCTTGCCACACAGGACAGTGTCAGAACTACAATGCACAGTTACAATGACAGTCAAGATGTGTTCTTAGGAAAAGTTGAATTTGGTTTAACAATGTATTCAAAGGTATAATACCACAAGTATGCTCGTAGCAATACTGTAGAGACCTTGATTGTTGTCTCGCTCAGTATATTAAGCCTATCATTACAGATTACGCTTTAATCTTGCTAACGCATTTAGGAATGTGTATTATTCTTAAATTAGTGAAGGAGAATATTACTCCATCTCTTCAATGTGTGCCTATCTAGAAAAAGATCAGGCGTGTATCACTTTTTGGAATTTAAGATTGAAAGGCATCCGCTTTATGTTCAAATTAACAATAAGCTTGGCATAATGTTAAAGAGCATGACATACAATCAAGAATGTATCCGATTGCACTATTCGAAAATTCAGAAAATACCAAATTCCTCTTTTCTTTGATACGTCAGTATCTGGATCTAATAGGTATACACTTAAGTTTACTCTCATGGATTTGTTTTTGTCTTGTTTTAAATAAACGTTTTATAGACAAACAACTTACAGTAATTGTCATAAGACATTCACCTATTGGTGATAAGCATAATGATCGAAAAACCTTTGTCTTCAACGATACCTTCATTGAGGAATGTGCCACTGTTCAAATGTCTTCGAATTATCAATGAGTGCATTGATCATGTAATCAAACCGTCTTGATTATGACGGTCAAGTGACACGCCCAACGGCTGACCGTCGTGACTTTCGTCAACCTTATAACCCACTTGTGCAAGAACAAAACATTTCAAAAGAACATGTGAACATTACAACTCCAAACTCCTGTCGTATAGGACAATATCAGAATTACAATGCACAATTACAATGATGGTCAAGATGTGTTCTTAGGGGGAAAAAAAAATCAGTTTGGTTTAACAATTTATTGTACGTGACGATACTATAGCCTAAAGACCTTGCCGTGTCAAGTGACACGCCCTACGACTGACCGTCATGACCTTCGTCAACCTTAACCCACTTGTGCAGCAACAAAACATTTCAAAAGGAAAATATGTGAACATTACGATTTTAAACTTCTGTCCTATAGGACAATGTCAGAATTGTAACGCACAATTACAATGATAGCCAAGATGTGTTCTTAGGAAAAGTTCAATTCGGTTTAACAATAATATTCAAAGGTATAGTACCACAAGCATGCTCGTGACAATACTAAAAAGACTTTGAGTGTTGTCTAGAAAAAGATCAGGCGTGTATCGCTTTTGGAATTTAAGATTGAAAGGCATCCATTTTATGTCCAAACATCAAGTTTGGCACAATGGTAAAGAGCACGACATGCAATCAAGAATGTAACCTATTGCACCCTTCGAGTATTAAGACAATACCGAATTCCTCTTTTCTTTGATATATGTCAGTATCCAAATCTAATAGGCGTACACTTTAGCTTACTATCAGGGATTTTTTTTCTTCTTCTTTTAAATAAATAAAACAACTTGCAATTGTTGTCATAAGACATTCACCCATTGATGATAAGCATACTGATCGAAAAACTCATGTCTTCAACAATACATTCAGTGAGGAATGTGCCACTGTTTAAATGTCTTTGAATTTTAAATGAGTGCATTGATCATGTTGCTGTTCATTAATCGATTGCAAAAGTTTCAAAATAGTATCGGATCATTAAAAAAATTAAATCTGATAGAACATAAATACACATTGAAATATGGTTCAGGAGGAAATAGAAAGTAAAATTCTAGCGATGAATGTGTAAAACGAATTGGACTTACGGAATAATAATTGACATATGAAATCACACAGGGAAAAGTTTCGTTCATTTACATTGTTTGCAATATTATCCCTTGTCAGTAAAAACAACTTTAATTGTCTAATATCCAGACATGTGTGCTATTTTGTAAAACATTGCTATTTTTGTGAAATGTACTAATAAAACTAAAAATGCATTTTTAACGTTATTCATTGGCTGTTGTCAGGGTTTCACTGATATAAGTTTATTATGGTTCATTTATTTAAAATTATCATCCCAGCTGAAAGATGAAAAAATACAGATGCTTTTAAATTACATGATACAGACAAAAAGACATTAATGAACATTCAAAAACCATTATTACTCAACTTGAATTTGTTATGATAGAAAACGGGAAGGTATGAATGAACAAATAGCTTTATATGAGAGTATAATAAATATATAAAGCAGACGTCGATACATTATAAAAGTTTGACACAATTTGAATGAAGAAAAAATTGAGAGAACTGTGATGAAAGAGAGAAAAGACGAGAGCTGAACAGAAAAAAAGAAAATAATAGAATTAGAAAAGAAGACGAAAACGAAGAAGAAGAATAAAAGAAAATATGAAGTATGCTGTAGCCCTCCATTGTTAATAATAAAACATGACCTTGGCTTTTTGTTTGTTCTTGTATATATTTGTTTTTAACTATCTATTCAAGACAGTGTATGTATTTACATATTTCTAGCTGTCTCTTCCTGGATCTTGGATCTGAAATTGAACTCGAGCCTGAACTTTATTGGAACACATTTTGGTCCCATTGGGGCATATAAAGGCTTAAAGGAGCAAACAAATTAAACAATTATACAATCTACATTTACAGCATATTTACAAGGTATATACAATTGTCGCTAAGTTTACGACCCGATGAGGGGGGGGGGGGGGGGGAGGGGGGTACTCAGATTTGGTTTGGCTGGGGGTGTGCGGCTTAGGCGTCTTAACCCATACCCATTGTCAAGGGTCATTTTGGCAGAAAATGGGCATTATTAGGGACTTCCATTTAAAACGCAACCCATGTTTAAGATTTTAGGACCATCGGCGATGACTTTTTCCTTGACTTTCACGATGTGATTTCCATGAAAGCTAAAAGGTCCGAAAATTGTCCATAAATATAGGTTTGTGATATCATACATTCGTGTCTTTACACATACCTTCATCTCAAGAGTTAGGACATTCAAAAGTGGGAGTGCTGGTATACATGTAGGGTATATCAGTGGGAAAAGTAGCACTGTGCTTTCCGGCAATAATCTGCCTAAACATTGGCACAAATGGAGTGATTGAAAGACGAAGGCGTTAATGCAAATGTTCAGACAATCTACTCCTAACATATACTGTACAGTAATGGCGCTTGTATACTGAAGAAAATGAGGCTAACGTTTATGTTTAGTTCTGTTCTAAGGGGAATTGTTACAGTTTAAATCTAAAAAGACCGGGCTATTTTGTTACACAATTCAATTCAATTCAAATAATTTTATTTCTAAAAAATGAGTTCTCGAGTATCATGAAAATGTATTTCTGCTATTTCTACCATTAACCAGTCTACTGCACAAGAGCAAAACCAAGGTATTTGGCCATTTGGGGTATTATATGCATGACCACATATATTATGGTTTTCTAAATATGATTGACATCAGATGCGTTTGCGACTTTATATTTAGTCTGATCCAAGCTCTAGTAAGGCTATTGGCTTAATACATGAATCAGATATACTAAACTCTGAGATGTGGACAGAATATATGAAACACACTAGCCCTAAAATAAGTCAGACCGTTACTACTCGTTGGGGATCAAGTCATTGGTCCTGAGATTAATGGTTAGACTTTTCACCAGTTTATTCCAGAAAAAATCGTGTCCTCTCACGTCCTCGGTCCAATGTAGGTAGGGTCTGCCATCACTTAAATATAACCTTGCCAGAAATGGTATATCCTCGTCAGGGATGTCTTCGAGAAAGACCACGACTACGAATTCGGTCTCGGTGTCGCTCACATGGTCCATGGCGGTGCGAAGTTTAAGCATGAACCAGCGATCGTGCACGGCAGCTCTGCTGAGTAGAATGAGTGTTTTATAACTATGACTCACCACGTAGTCGACGGCGTCCAGGTAGTGCATACCAGGAATGAGGTCTTGATCACCAAAGACATTCCTCTGGAACTGCGGAAGCCGTGCTTCCAGAGCTGGTTGGAGTTGTTGACGAGCCCATTCTTCGTCGTCATCGTAGAAGATGATATTCAAGTCAAACTCATAGTCGTTGTGGTCCCGGGCGTCCCGCATCTCTTTATATCCAATTACCATTAGTTTCAAGAGAAAGAGTTTGTACTTCAACTGCAATCGGTTGTGATAAAGGACTGCAACGATGACAACCAAGAAAATGCCGGCGAGAGGAGTCAAACACACAAGAACAATATTGAGTCCACAAAGTTTATTTGGATCAAAATCAAGCAAAGGTTTCTCGCGAAGAGGCTCTAAAGAGGCCGATGAACAGACTGTTCTGTTTTCGTCAATGACGTCAATATGTCTACTCATCCAATCGCGGAACCATCGTAGATCGCAATTACAGTCGATAGGGTTCAATGACAAATCGAAAGATAGAAGCGAAGATTTTATCGGTTCAAATGTCTTTTCGTTGAGAATGGTTAATTTATTGTTTGATAGCAATAGAGTAGTCAGTCTGGGATTGTTTGAGAATAGTTGTTCATCGAGGTATGCCAAAAGGTTGTCATGAAGATCGATAATAGTCACTTGATCTAACATTTTGAATATATCAAAATTAAGTTGTTGAATTACGTTTCCACTTAAATTTAGCACCCGAAGCGATTCCAATCCCGTAAAAGCTAATGGATGAAGGCATGAAATATGACAGGCTTCTAAACTAAGGTTCTGGAGAGCAGAGAGTTGTTTGAAGATCCTAGCTGGAAAATCAGATGGAAAGTAGTGGTCTAAATAATTTTGGCTAAGATCCAAAGTAATAAGATTTGACAATCCGTCAAAAAGAGAAACATTCAGGATTTCATCCCAGAGATTGAAATTCGACAGCCCCGAATTACGGATTTCCAAATTCTCAAGGCCTTGTGAATCTTCGAAGGTTATTCCAGGTGCCATCATGATCATTTCGGCGATCATGTTATTCATGAAAAGGGTTGTTAAGTTCGGGGCTACCGGTTGAAATATGTCCTTAATGCAAAAGTTGCAAAAGTTCAAGGCGATGGTTTGAATTCCCATCAGTTCCGAAAACGACGTGATATTCAGGACCTTAAGGTCTTTGTTCAAGCTCAGATCTAACAGCGTTAGATTTCGCAAACCGAAAAATGCGAATTCTGAGATTTCTGTCAAAGAATTGCTGCGTAAGTACAACTCATTTAAGTCCAGTGTCCATTCGTCAGTATTTGGGTTTATATATTTTATTTGATTGAAGTTCAAGTTCAGAACTTTTAGCTCCCGCATGCCTTGAAAGAATACTGGTTCAACAGTGATGATTTTGTTTCGCGATAGATCAAGTTCCACGAGTCTTGTCAAGTTTGAGAACACGTATTGAGAGAGAGATTGTAAATTGTTGCCGGTGAATTTAAGCACGGGAGGAGAACAATTACGCAAGGGACTAAAGAAATCTCGTGGCAAGACTGCGAAATTGGCACCATGTATACTGAGCTCCACTATTTCAGAGCGACAGATCCCGATAAAAGTATCCTTCAGTACCTCAAGTGTGAACGGGTAGTCTCCAAGGTCCAGTGATCGGACACGCAACGATGCAATAACATTCGGGTCTACTGATTTAATAGGATTCCCGCTCAGATTAATATAATCACTTTGACATCCGACGATGAAAGATTCTGCGGTGAGATGCTCGATGTTATTATAAGCCAATTCAATTTCCTTTGCTCTGTCACAAAGGCTCATGTTTACGAAAGCGAGATTGTTGAAGCTAAGGTATATCGACTCCACAGACGGGCTCCATTTCAGAGTGTCGTTTGGAAGCAGTTTTAGATTCACAGATGCCAGTTCCAGGGTGGACAGGTTCTTAGACCACCTGAACAGGCCTGTAGCTGGGAGAACAACAAGTTTATGGCTGTTTGATAGGATTAAGCGATTCAATTCCTTTAGAGGGTAAAAAGATGCAGGTTCTATCATTCTGATGTCGTTAAAGTTAAGATCCAAGTCCTGGATCAAGGGGTATCTCTCGAAAGAAGAATTCAAGATGAAATTGATATTGTTCGAACTGACGTCCAGCTCTTTAATATCGTCTGGAAGATTCTGAGGGATGGAGTCCAACCCACGATGATGGCAATCAGCTTTCTTCAGCTCGGCATCGTAATGACATATCATAGAAGGAGTGAGCATGGCATCTTGGTGTATGGTTTGGATGAGCGTTGGTGTTATAATACACGCTACAACCAATGATAGACAGCGTAAAAGAGGTGCTCGTCGTATGAATGCCATGATAACTGATTCCTGTCTGAAAATAAAAACAGAAGAAAATACACTACAGATTACCAACCTCCGCATTAACAATTATAACCCTGATCACGACACAGGCCTTTCACTGACCTTAACTCTTACCCTAACCCGAATACATTCTACTGATGCTTAGTAACGTATTCTTCACTTAGGTCATGATAAATAAGAGTTTTGTTTTGTTTTTATAAGAAATAACAGCCCATTTGAAAAACTATTTGTTTTATTTTTTGTTGGCGTCTACACCATTCAGATTTATGGGTATATAAGTAAAACAATAATGTTATTAGAAGTAGTCCAAGTACTTCACTCGAAAATGTTGAAGAAAAAATATGAGCTTATTGGTTAGCAAAAAAAAATCGCAATTAAAAAAAAAGATATTGAGCTAATGTAGAATTACTGTGTAAATCTACCCAAGCAGTGTGCGGTAATACAATAATATTAAGAAGAGATATTTTGCAATACATTTAAAAGTGCGTAACCCTTATGTTTGTACATTCCATTTACATACATCAAAGTAAGAAACAATCGTAAGAAAATAAGAATCAATCGTTCATTTCCTTTTTTTTTATTGTCAGAGTTCACTTCACTTTTATATTTACCTCAACTTTAAGAAAGATCAATAGAATATTCCCAAAAAGGTCTTCAGCGGACTCACAGAATCTGGCAATAACGGCTGACTTGGTTTGGAGAAGAATCAATCTACACTAATGCGAGAAGAGCTTCACGAAATCACATTAACTTTTATGCCCTGTTAAATAATCACTTGATGAATGCTCCGGTTTCGATTTGAGAGCAAAACTAGAATATTTTAATCCAGGCAGCACATTTCCTGCAATCAAAACATCTTATTTCTGCTGGAAAGTGAAACTGCTGTATACTGTACTTTACTAAATGCTTAGTCATATTATTTGCCTCTTATAGTCTGGAGAAAAAGTAAATTCCCGGGAACAAACCGAGGCAATGTAGAATCATTTCTCCATTATTGAATATCTTGATTTCTATACAGTTCGTATTAAAAAAAGAGTATACAACTTTGGTAGCTTCTAATTAAAAAGTTATAGCCTATGTGACATTGAATCATTATTTTGTCATACGCTGTCGAATGATGCCATATTCATAATTGTGGTGCCACGGATGGCTAAGCAACCGGCTTTCCAAAAAGTATTGTCAAAATCCTCTTGCACCAAGTTTGGGCTGAAGCAATGAATTTGAGTCAAAATCCATTATGTGTGTATTATCTCATTCCAAAAACACCAATATCGCTCACTTATTTGCATTGGCTATTGGGTAGTTATAAAGAAAAGGTTTTAATATCAACTCGAGCTGAAGGAAATGCCTATTCCCAGCAAAATTTATGATATTTTCTTTAATATGATGATTACAATCTTGCCTTTATTAGCATCCCTTGTTTAAGGTAACCCTTCTCATTGAGGTGATACATAATGGTTAAAGTTTATTTGGGATGTTATCCTTTGTATAAAAGTATACTGTCAATTTCTTCGATACTTAGAATCATATGTTTATTCTTGCATTTGGGTTTAGTAACCTTTGAGTTTTCATTTGCTATTCGAGATAAACACCTTAATATGCTCATTACGCGTGTGAAATGGCGTAGCGGACATATGAGCAGAGAGAACTTAGATATCATGAGTCAAGAAGTTAGTAGGCTGTTCAAAATAAATAAAGGTCATTATGGATTGAATTGCATCATTTTAAACAATTTAGCACTGAAGCACGGGGCATAGTTTAACCTTTTAAATGGATTTAAGACCAAAGAAGCACATGCATATGGTCTGACCCGAATTCGTTCCATCCGCCCGAACTTGGTACAACGCGATTTTGACAACCCTTTTTAGAGACCCTGGTGCTCTTTCATCTCAGATGAACAATATTTGACCAAGTCCCTTTAAGCTTGGCGTCGGATTTCAATCATATAGTAGAACAGGGGCGGCACTGTCTCACATACATAATCGCAAAGACTGTCGAAAAAAAAATCAACCTTAGTCAATTTCAATTGTCTTGTACACAACAATTCGACTCTTGTCCACCGCCCTTTGAAATGTGCACACTTTACAGACGTGTCCCGTAATCTGAACATGATTTTATATCGGATTCTCGAAAGTCTTTGCGATCGCACCTTCACACACAGTGATAAAATACCGTTTTAATCGTCACGTTGTGATACAATGTTTTCTTCTTCTTTTGAAAGATATTTTATTGTTAATTCAATGCACAAAAATAGTAACAGAATGATAATATACATATGATTTAACATAATATTACAAGATATTAAAGATGATGTGGTCACCCGGCGACGATCACAGTGTGTATAGATACAATCATATTCACTTCAATACTATTTAGAGAGTCACATTTACTGTTGTCCAAAAGAGAACCACAAAATATATTGACATAACATTATTACGTGTATGCAGGCGCGTACGCAGGATTTTTTCAAGGGGGGGGGGGGTTTAACATTTATAAATCGGGCCGAAAATTTCGCAACGACTCAGCCAGCCGCTGAAAAGGTCACTTTTTTTTTTTTTTTTTTGAGTCCCAAAAAAATCGCAACGACTCAACCGACCGCTGAATAAGCGGAGGGGGGGGGGGGGGGGGGGATAAGAGGACACTTTTTTTTGGGGGGGGGGAGGGGTCTCTGAATTTGAAAATTTGACATTTTGCTCCCTTGGGGGGGGGGGGGGGGTAAGGTCACCTTTTTTAGGTCAGCCATGGGAATAAATTCCGGGGGGGGGGGGTTGAGGAGGGTTATGGGGGGGGGGGGGGGTTTACACACAGAAAATTACCAAAGGGGGGGGGGGGTTAACCCCCCAAACCCCCCCCCCCCCTGTGTACGCGCCTGCGTGTATACCCCTACACAAAACAAAAACAACCGTAATAAACGGTTCAAAATTTATACAAAAATAGTATGTAGGTGCCGATGATCGTTGCGTATACACTTTACTAATATATTTGATGATATCTTAATAATGAATATGTGAAATATAATCAATATCAAGACAATTTAGATACTACACTAAGATATTTACACAACCAAAACTTGATAGATCTTTTTATAAAACACATCTTTGCAGATGCCGATGATCGTTGCTTTTACACGTTATCAACATATATTCGATGATATCTTAATAATAACATTTCATATATAACCAATATCAAGACAGTTTGGATAGTACACTTAGATATTTACACAACACAAACTTGATTGATCTTTTTATCTAATACCTCTTATAGATTGAGACAGAGAAATGTATTACGAGTATTCAATGACTAGTTGTTTTCAAAGCTAATAGAGATTAACCCATTTCATAGTGTCATCTTTTAGTGACCTTTATTTTTATTTTGAAATCTCTGAAATGGTAATGGAGAGTGAAATTCATAATCACTTTGTTCTTGTTGAAATTGGCAATTTGTAGTTGATTTTCGTTGTTGCAATTTTGATTCACACAGCTTTTAGTTTTTAATAATGAACGAGTGGGAAATACGAAAACATTGTTTCATATTTGAGGAGGAAAAATAGATTCATTTATATAACCGTGTTCAAAAAGTTCGTTCCGCCCATATCTGCCAACTCAACTGCTCATATGACTACTTTAGTAATAGTAATAGTCTGTTATCAACCAAATGTACATGTACTGGATGTATACTAATGCATCCAGCCTGCGGAAATTGACAACACCATTGCTGGGCTGAGATACGAGGTCAAACATTAAAACGGAGGAATTTAAAGGTCTGTAAACCTCAGACATTTAAAGATGGCGCCCAACAAGAACAACAGTAGCTTGGAGAAGGAAAGAGAACTGGCCAGAAAATTTGACAGAACTGAACCCCATAGAGAAACTATGGGCTATTATGAACGAAAAAGTATTTGAAACTCAATACTGCATAACAATAACTGAACTTAAAGAGGGGATCCGACGAGCATATAAAAGCCAAGACATGAATAAGGACCTCCTTGCGTCATTAGTGGACGATAACTGGACCAAGCGTGTTTCACAGGTGATCGACCACCAAGGAGAAATAAATTTTAAATAAATTGGGAAGTGACATCTCAATAATGCTTAGAAATGAGAAAATTAACAAAATAACCTGAAATGCATGGTGCAAATTGAGTTTTAAACACAATAATATGCTTTTCTGTAGGGGGGGGGGGAACAAACATTTTGAACACCGTATACCTGCAGAAAAGTTTCTGTGAACTGCTATGAGTTATTTAGTGAGAATGTTGGAAAGCTGGATCAAAACCAAAACAGATTGTTATAAACAAAAAAAGCATGACTGTCAAGTTTTTAGCATTTGGGACTTTGGCTTTCGAAACAGTTGTACTAATCAAACATTACTACTTAACTTTATAGCTAGAAATAGTATCCTGCGTTATTTTTAAATCCCTGATTGTGATAACGTATTATTTATGAAAGACGTAAACTTAAGATTAGTACAGAACAAAGATAAAAAGGAAAGAAGAAAATAATACAACATATTAAAGGTGAAATTCAAAGAAAATCACAAATACGTCAACTAATGTATCACTAGAAACTGGTAAGCTAACAGATGGCCATCGGACAAGTTTTTGGTCAACTACATATCGGGTGATTTATAAAAAATACAAATACAACCACCTCCATAGCAGCTTGGATATACGAGAGATTCGCCGGAAAAATAACGATGTTTTAATGACGTCACTAATGGACCAGCACTGCCCAAGCAGACGACATCCCATAGAGAATGAATACAATTCAAAGCTATTACTTCTCAAATTATAACGAGTTTAGTGTATATAAATGTAATGGCATGTCAAACCATTCAAAAGGGGATATGACCTGATTCTGATAACTAAAATCTTTTGCTTGTAAATACACAGGATAGGGGTTAATTAACAATCAAAGAAACCAGACTTTGATTGAAAAACCCCCGGAATGATAATAAGGACGACATTTGTTCCCTCTTGAAACGCCGAACATACC